GCACTGCGTGGAGACCCTGTAGTAGGAGATTCGTTGAAATGTAGTCGGCCGAAATATCCATTCTCATTCAGCTGACCAGATGAAGTGGTGCTGTAGGAGTTAAACCCCAGGTGGACGTTATCGGGATGCAAGCGTAGCTCGCGGATGCTGGCTCCCGACCCGGAATCATCGGCCTTGTTGCTCATTCGAATGGGATAGATGTAGATCTGGTCTGGAGTGCACTCATCACTTGCCAATTGACCCGCTCGACATTCGATGATGTTGGTTCCAGCCATTGCGCGTCGACCGTCGGCGAAAGTCTGAGGGTAATCGCTCAAGGATGTACTGCCCACTCTGTTGTTTTCCGATACACCACAAGTCACACACTTCCACGGGTCGCCAGTGGAGAAGTTGGTCCCATTCGTGCTGACCATGATCAATTGGACTCCCGTATAGATGCTTGCTGGGTCTGGTGCGGCTGGGGCACCGGTGAAATTAAGGCTGGCCCAGACGTAATTTCCGTCTGGGGAGAAGTTGCCCCCTTGCATAAGAGATGTTTTCCCCATGCATCCAGTGCCATGAGGGTTAACTCGGCGGGTACAAGCACCAACATCGTCTGTGGGCACGACTGGTGGTAGTGGCAGTTGGACGACTTCAATTGGCTCGGGTGACGGAAATGATTCCGCGGCTGCGGCGGATAGGACTGACGATACGATTCCCAGCGAGAGAGGGAGAAGCCCTCCAAGGATGGGGAACAGCATGGTTTCAGATGATAAAAACCTAGTTGACGACGAAACATGATTTCAGCAGCGTGGATTGAGCTTATATTTTTAATGCGCAGACGGGGGAAGTCCAGAAACGTCATGAGGTCTGGTGGATTTCGAAAGTATTCCTGGCCAGCGGTTGCCAATTTGCCGTACGTGTATGCACGGGCCAGGTTGATGTTGATCGTCTGCCTTGTGGGTCAACGGACCAGTAGAAAAGGCGAGTTAAACCTTGATGGCGACGGTTGATGGGGGATCTTCGGCGGGATACGCGTATGCACGGGCCATCTAAGGGGGTGAGCCTCTGATTCACAGTCAAGGTGCCTCGGTGATGACACTAGAACAGGTCAAACCAGGACTGCCTTTCACGTGTGTCTCTTACAAAAGGGACTAGCTTGAGTAAATAATAAAAAAAATCCCGTCTTGGCTGCATTGAGTCCAAGCGCCGTCGTATCAAGGTATTAGAGACCCTTTACAGTAATTGAGCGACATTAACGTGTAGAAAAGTGCCATGAACAACGGCCAGTATGTTCGCAATGTACAATATCAGAGCGGACCTGTGAGTTTACAGAACTGCCGGCCCGTTGCATCAGAACCCTTCCATGCCAGCATCCTCAACAGGGGAGACGACAGATTCGACTTCAACGGTCGCTGATGCTAATCCCCCTGGAGAGCCAGCAGCCAACATGCTTCACACGGATCGCCTGTATCAGTTGTTAACTGAGGCCATCGACTCACTCAATGAGCATACTAGCCCGGAGATAGTAGAACCCCTGCCGACATTATCAGGTGCTCGATAGGGGTTTTATATCTTCTAAACGAGCTCTTGGCTCTCGCTGCCACGCATCTCAGTGTCAACCGCCGTGAACAGCACGACTATTACTGCCCCACTTACAGAATCATGCCTTGAGACTCTTTCATGCAACAAGCGATGCAGATGATCCTGGAGCATGCATTCCACGATTCATCTTTCCTCCATGCTCGGGTTGCACATACTGTGCGAAACTCTCATCTCCCGTGATGGTGACTTAATGGCTTCCTCGACTCCTTTGTTCCTTGTCTCTGCTTACATCAAGACGTGCGTATCATTATCGGAAGGAGCTGGAGCATGTTATTGCAGACTAGTAATCTCGGGCAGACTTTGGACTCTGCAGAAAGACAGTTACAGAGCGATGGGAGCCTGGGCCCAGGATGTACCCACCTATTGGCACCCATACAGCAGTCCAACTTGGGTCTCTTCATCACTGAAACCTATCGACAAACAATCGAAGCATTGCAGTCGGCAATACATTCTGGGGCGCTTGCATTACTGGAGCTTTCGCATGACCCGTCAGTGTACCGTCGGAATACATCGACCTCCTCGCCCTTCGTAGCCCCGACGCTCTTACTGTGATGGCAGATTACGGGGTAGTTCTGCATTCTTATCGCCAATGATGGTTCTTGGGCTATGGCGGGCAATATCTGATCGAGTCGGTTATTGATTATTTGGGGCCCGCTTGGTCGGAATGGTTGGAATTCCCGAGTCATGTGCTGAGTGCAGGTTCACACGGAAATTAGCTTTTTATAATGTTTCTGTTGGCATTTCGGAAGCGCATCTTACTCGTTAACAGCATACAGGCGTCATAAAAAATAGAATTTTGACTGTGAAAGTTTCGATATAGGAGTAAACCCTTCGCAATCTATTCAGAAAAGTATCTCTAATAAGATACATGAAAGACTGTGTCCGTCAGTGAACCTAGTATAGTTTACACCAACGCTTCCATTTGTTTTCGCAAAACTTGCAATAGTTTCTCGTTCTCCTTCCACCTTTTCCTGGCCTCTTCGTAGTCATCATGTGAGACCCATCCTTCTTCACCACTTATTTGAGCTCTCAGATTATTATATTGACTGAACGCGGCCGCCCATGCCTCTGCCTGCTGCCGGCTTTGCTCAATCTTCTTCCTTGAAAAGTAAATGGGGCATAGGCTTGTTAAATCTCGCTGTGCCATGATCCCGTCCCACTTCTCATATACCTGTATTAAAAGCTCTCTTAACGGTATTGGCCCATCCCTGGAAGTCTGACTGACAATGTAGAATATAAAGCTGGTGGGGTCATTATCATCTCTCATTTGGTCCATGGCATGAACAAGAGACGGGTTGAATTTCCGGGAGGCAAGCTCGTAAAACTTCTTCAATCTCAGTCTCTCTAGCTTCTGTTCGGCTTCTTTCTTTTCAGCGGTCGAGAGCACGTCAAAATCCGTAGGTAGCTTAGGCTGCAGAGCACCCCAGATATAAGAGTCATCACAATTGAATATCGAGGGGAACTTTGCCGTGAGGAATAGGGGCGCTATGTGTACCGCTTGCCAATCAATTATGCTTGTAATTCGAGTTGGATCATGTCCGTCGACAAATATGTTATCCGCGTGAAGGTCATGGTGCAGCATGACGGGGGAATGCGTGTTATCTGACGGTAGTATGTGAGGGAGCACAGCCAGGAATTTCTCAAGGAGCTGTATATGTTCTTTTCGTCGCTTTGGTGTCCTCCCCAAAGGTACAGTGGTATGGTTGGTGTTGCTGTGTCCATGCCGTATACGAACAATCTCACGGTTCGCAACGGCGGAAACATACCCCATGGCCGATTCCCCTGCGTTGTCAAGCTTAATAAGAGACTTCTGGGAGGTGACTGGCACTACACTCACAAGGGCCTCTGTCAATATCTAGATTTTCCACTTCGTCTTCCCAGAAGGACCGATGAGTTGTCGGGCCGAATACATATTTGGATCGGATATCAGTATCTAGGCCGGGTAGAGCAGCAATGCTTCTTCCCTGTGGGAATGTGTCCCGATAATACAAACTGCCATGTAGGGTAAATTTCGCTTCCATCAATCCGCGTTCAATATGTACCAAGTTCCTCACCAAGCGGAAGCGTTGAGCCTCAGACATATTATACCAGACTTCGCTGAGTTGCTGCCCCTGTGCCTTTTCCATGATGATATATTCCGCAGCAACTGGGTTAGTCTGTGACGAAGAACTCCACGAGAGAACCTGGGGAACAGGTATCTTAAGATTGGCTCGCAACTATGACGGCATTAGGACACTGGCTCGACATCTGGATCCAATCTCACGTACAAACTCAAGAGTTGCCACTTCACTGGCAACAATATAATGAGGATGGCCGGCGTTCGGGTTGGGAATTCTGGCCAAGACCTCCTTACCATCCGCCATCTTTAGAGAGAACACCTTGTTGAACATCCCCTCGCACAATTTGTTCATTGCGACACATTGGGTTCCAAGTATCTGTCCAGTAATTTGCTGGAGTGCTGATACATTAAATGTGCTATGACGTTTCTCTAGTTGAAGTCTTTCATTGTATAGCCAACGACCGGATGTGTAATTGAAGTAGTGACTGTTTGTGTCAGTTGGCTTAGTACTTGCCGATCGAACAAGCGACCACGGAGAATATCGCGTTTTGCTCGTTATCCGCACAGACAATAGACGCGGCCTGCCAAGACAATCTTTTGTATGAAGCATGGCTTGTTCGATGGTCCTGCCATTAAGGCATGAAGGGTGTCGCGTAGCTGAACACTAGGTTTGCTCGACGACCAACGCGCTTTACGGAACCAGGCTCCATCACATGACGGCCGAAAATGCCACCAGGGCAAGTATTGCGCTGTTATTACTAAGCTGTGTAACCCTACACTCCGATTCATTAGAACTGGTAAATACCGGCCTGCAGAGAAGTACGAGTAGACCCAGGGGGATGCAAGCTTTAGCATCACTGATGTCCCAAGATCTATGAGAATCCCCGGGGATACCTTGGAAAGCCTTTATATGGATCAGGTAATGTATGTTATAGTGACTCATCTGACTGTGGGGTTGTGCAGTTGGCTTACTGTGCAATTTTAGATAAGACGGCGACTTTTATCTCTCCTTCCCATTTTTTTATATGGTAGTATGTGTCTGCCCCCATCTAGATGCACAACAAAATGCGGGTCAAAAACTTTGGTTAAGACGAATAATACCAGAGAGATTGTTTGTAGTTTTTTTGCCTGTCCCTTTAATAGAGCAACATTACCTATATTAATCCCTGTCGATCAGTTTACATTTTGCTGATGGTCAGTAGTCCTGATACGCTAAATCTTCATCGTCGTTGTTGTGCACTATATCTAAGTCATCTTATTATCTGGCAACGTCAAATTTGCACACTAATGGAATTTCAAATCCGTCGTGGCTAATTCATAGTGACTGTTCTGCGCCATGAAATAAGTTCAGCAGTCCTCATACGCCGCGCAAAGTAAACTGCAAATGCAATGATGCAGGAATTAAAATCATCAAGTCTAGTGAGCGCTTGAAAAAGTCTCGCTCTGTCTGTCCTGGTGCAAATGATACATCATATCCCCTAAGAACCTCCGCAGTGACGCGCCTTGATTCCATCATGGCAAGTTGTCTTCCAGGGCACGCATGCGGCCCTTGAATGAGGTCAGAAGCCTGTAATGGTACAAGGTGTTCGGGGGACGCATCTCACCAGTCTGGAAAGGAATGAAAAGCGATCGGTTCTTTACTAGCTCGGGTTTTGTGGTCCAACGCTCGGGGAGGAATTCTTCAGGCCGCTCAAATGAGCGTTTATCTAACATATGTTATACACTATATTCATCAAATAACATGCTTTGAATAGGACGCACCTCGATGGATCGAGTATATAGGGATCTGGACGAGAACGTTGCCGGGAATATAGTTTTCTCCTATGTGGATGCCTTCCTGGGGGGTAATGCGTTGAGACGCCGCGGCAGCGGGCGCATATAAGCGAAGCGTCTCATAAATCACGGCGTTAAGAAGGTCTAATTTCCGCAGATTATGCTCGCTCATGTCGAGAACATCGTCTAATGCTTGTTGCAACTTGTGTGTAAGTGCGCGATCGCGCGCTAGGTTAAAGAAAACGTTTGTAGCCACGGAGAATGTCGTATCGCTAATGACGAAATACAATGGTTAAATATGGGAGAACGGCCTCCTTCAGTTGCGATAGCAATATCTTACCTTCCTGCAAGTAAGATAGAATACCCTAGTCCATGTAGCTTGTAGGTATCTAGCCTTGTCTTTGGCCTTTTCCGTGAGCACTAAGTAGCCAGGAGAAGATGTCAGGATTCGGTGATCCTTTCTACATGGACTCAGTGATCGGTCAATAATTAGCCGCAGGTAATGTGCATACCTCTGTTCTCTGTCTAAAGTTAGTCTGAAGCCACGTCCAGAACCGCGTATTCTTTTTTCGAAAAAGGGGTGTTTTGATCAAGAGGGCTGGTATCCAAGGCATATGTCTCAAATATCCCATCATATTCGTGCTCGGAATGAATAGAATCCAGTAGAAAGGTATCTTCCCCTTCCTCGGAAATTGTATTGAATGGTCTACCGAAAATAAGATGACCCATGATTTCGAAACTGTACCGTTTTAGCCACTCGGTTATGTTAATTGGATTTCCTGATCGGTCCTCGATTATCTGCAACAGCTGCTCGGTGCATTTGGCTATTACTGGCTCGTATGTCACGAGAGCTGTGATTGGATTTGGTTGGGTCAGAGATCCTGTACTAAACCTTTCCGGATATTGCGATTTCTCTCACCTTTGCTGCTAAGACTTTGGTCCACAATCTTCCGGCGGAGAGCATGTTCTTTCTTATCCCGAGTGAAGACAAGGCCTTCCAGGGGCTCCATCAATATGTACCAGGGCCCTTTAGCTGTTTCTGAAGAATTACCATACAAAGGGTTCAATGCCGCAGGGTCAATGATGGAAACTTCCATGGGACCTGTCTGTTGTCAATAATATTCGGTATACGGCTGATGGAATTTGAATGATACATCACTCACCGACTCTCACGTAGTCCCCATACTGCTGGTGAAGTCGATGGACATCCTGGTGGATTTTCATGCGCTTACATGTCTGGATTGTAAGATACAATGTGGACAAACGTGCACCCAATGGGCCCGGGAATCTGGATAGACGATGAAAAAGACCTCTGTAAACAAGGATACTTCCAAGGATGCCCAGGAAATGGTATCCAATCAATAAGAAAAAGCCAAACGCGGAGATGAGCACTAAGCCATTGCGGGTAATCGGTGAGTGAAGTAGATACACCGCTCCGATGAGCGTGGCGCATAAGTAGCTGAGTACAATATTCGAAGACTTTGTATCCCATTCACCATGTCGAAATAACAAATGATGGAGTGAAATCCCGCTCACCCTGCCAAGAATCCCAGTATTATTCCAAATGCTTGTGAGAGCCATACTGCAAGTAGTTGATCGTCGAATATATCAACTGTGTTTAGCTGTATCAACTGTGTTTAGCTGGGGCGGCGAATACACTCTTATAACATACATATGACCTTCGCCGTCAACTCCCTCACAACAGCGGTCGTATGCTGGTGTAACCCCTCCTTACCTCCCTCCAATTTGTAATTATGCATGACATTTGAAATGGACATTATGGTTCAATTCAACTCAATTCCTGATTATGTACCTCATTGAACCCACCATGTGGGTCTTAGCTATGCAGGTGCCTCGACATTTGTAACGAATTATATGGCCGCAAACGCCTCCATCGCCTCAAATTGCGCAATTTGCACTCTTCATGCATGAAATGGTGAATGCTGTATCACGAAATGACGGTCACGGTAAGCTAAGGATTTGCTACTCGACCAAAAGCTGATACAGCCAGCCACAACATTCTTATTTTAATACAGTCGATGCGACTGCAACAAGGGATGCTAACCTTACCGGGTGTGAGATAAAGCACTTGAGAAAACTGTCCACGTTGAATCCTATAAACACCCTCTCTAGTCTCCTAATCCTACTCATAACAAGCTACTTCACATCGTTCGGATGAGATACCTAGGTCTCATTGTCAATTTCATCAATCATTCAACATACTAGTTTTTACTTCTTCATAATTTTATACACATCAACCCGTCATTCCTTGCCCATCACGGATAGGAACGAGTGCAGGGAGGCATACGAAAAAGCCTTTCAAGAACACATGTACCGAGGGCGGCTGGGTTCACTCCTCAGACCGGATGAATGCTCTGCCCTCCATGACGCCTACTTGTCATCTCTCCCAAGCGACCTATGCAAGAGAGCTTATCGTTATCGCAGTACGGGCACTGGGCTACCTGCATTTGTTGTATGTTCCTGCGAAGGCGAACTCTGGGGCAGAGAGGATGGACAGCAGCTCAACTCAGCCACAGTTATGGGCCATACTCTGCTTCACTATGGAGCAGAGAGCTCCTGTGGCGCGTGCATCAAGACGGGTATCGTTCTGATGTTCCGCACATGGTTGCTTAGCACCAGTGCCGACCAGGAATTGATTGCGCTTGCATGCACTGCAACATGTGAATGTATAACCCGACAATATTTGCTATCACCCAGCCAGAATGCCATTGCCGGTAATATCACTGTTACTTGTCCTGGGCCGTGTCGCCTTCAATGTGGCGAGGGGAAGCACAGTCCAGCACCGGAAAGAGATGCATCTACGGCGGCCTGCCGGTCAGGAACGCGTGCATCGGGGGCTTGGCACAGGTGAGATGCCAGATCATACATCTGATTATCTGGTCTGCTGTTGATCGGGATTCAGCATGTCCCAGGCTTAACTTTGAAAACTGAAAGAAAAGCCTTTCATGACATGAGGTCGGCTTGAGGAAGACGACACAAAGTTTAGCCGCGGTCCAGTGATTTCATATTGCTAGTTAGTGTGAATAATTGATGAACGGGTACGAGAATGGATCCTTGCAGTTATCCTATCTAGGAGGTTATCTGGTATTTATTAGTGTTCAACTCAGAATAGGATACCACTCCACCGCCAATAGTATATGATGGCCAACTCGGTCACAAGCTCTATCGATCTAGTCTATAGGTCTGTAAGTCAATTCTCATGGCAGTGTGGCAAGCAAGCTTATCAAGCAGCATGTCTGTGGCATATGTCCGGTTTCGGGTCCCTTGCTTGATATCCCATGTAGGCAATGCCCGAATAGGTACCTCTTCCCGGCGCCCTGGGCCAATTCCGCGGCAATTATTTGCCTCGACATGATCGTCAGCCCGTTCAGCTCAACTTCGTCAAGCCGCAGAGAAATTTGACCGATGAACAATTTCAAGTCACACGGCGTTTCTTCGAAATCGTCAGGCAATGTGTGACCCTCAGACTGCTTCCTTTCATGCTGTAACCCATGGTTTGTACATATCCCTTGTTAAGAGTTCCATGACATCATCATCGAATAAAATTACTCGCTGGCGCCAGTCTTCCATTTTATAAAATCAGTCACAAGTCTATCAGCACCGCTTCAGCATTCACAACAATATATCTACAGTCATATCTTACTTGATTAAACAGATGTATGAGACCCCAGCCTGCTTTCAGTGACCAGCTGAGGGCACTATTCATTGAATACTTAGTTATAAAGTACACTGTAAGGGGCCACTGGTATTTAGATTTGGCTTGATCCGACTGCTACTGGACAGTAAATTTATGCAAGGCCTCTCGAAGCAAGGTGCCTAGGGATATACACATGATAAGAACATCATTCGACAGCTTCATTCTCTACTTCGGGCCCTACCATACCCATCGGTCGAAGTGTCTTTCGTCACCTTCAATTTCCCATCACAGAGCATTGCCGTTACGAGCTCCGTCTGATTACTATAAGGCTGTAGCTGCTTTTAGTAGAGAGTTTTGGTACAGGTCAAACCAAATTTATAAGATGCCCCCAGGTTGCTCCGAAGATAGACACCTGCGTAAGTTACTGGCAGGTTTACAACTCTGCCAACATAATCTGTCCAAATCGTGGCCTCTACATATATTTATATCTTTCAGATCAGCCTTGTCAATGCTCACTTACTTTTCGCCAGTACAGCTGAGGGTTTAGGATATGTCAAAATTTATGAAGAAGCTGAGGACGAACAGCTTGACCACAGTGAATGCCACTGGCAACAAGACAGGATATATTAATTTAATAATTGAGGATTATAGCCGGGGCAGACTGTGTTGACACTGCGACAGGTGTAATTGAAAGGTCCAGTTAGAAATGGTAGAACAATCATCTCATGAAAAATGCTCCATGAAACAAAGCTTATCCCATGTTTGCGATTGGGTTTAGATAGCGAGCAGGCGGAGGTTTCTTTCTCCGATGATATACTGGATAAGAACATCTCCGGGCGCAGGACCTCCACTCCTCCGAACAGAATGCTTGGCGGCAAACGTGTCTCTAATTTAGACCAAAGTAAAAGCAGTACAAGATGCACCTAAATTTAGCGGGAACAACAGCACTCACATTTCCTGCCCCTCGACCTGCAAACTCCGACCCTTAACTCCAATTTTTACCTATCATGACCAAACAAACAATCCCCGCTCAGGACATTCACAACGTTCTCAGCAATGTCCTACCCCTAATCAAAAGCCACGTTGAAGCCCAAACATCCGCATCAAAAAAGCGTCCATTTATTCTGGGCTTGACAGGCCTTCAAGGAAGCGGGAAATCCACATGGACTGACGCACTTGTACAAGCTTTGAACGATGAACACAAATACAACATAATCAACATATCCCTAGATGACCTTTATCTCGATCATGACGACCTTATCCAAGTACGAGACAATAACCTCTCCAACAGACTTCTGCGAACGCGAGGACAACCCGGCACACACGATATCGCACTTGCAGTTGACTTCTTCGACAGTTTAACAGAGTCTTCAGAGAAAGTCATTCCATCATTCGATAAAAGCCTATTCAATGGAGAGGGTGGCCGAGCACCTCAGGACACATGGCGTCGAATTCCACCAGAAGTCACCATCGACATCGTCATTTTCGAAGGATGGTGTGTCGGATTTCAACCATTGCCACAAGACGAAATTACGCGTCGCTGGAACCATGCGAAAGAGGTCTCCGCGGGAGGCAGCTTGAAGCAGACGCTGGGGGAGCATGAATTAGAGCATTTGCTACAGATTAACAAGAATTTGCGTCAATACTGCGAGTTATTCATGGGGCCGCAGGATTTCGACTTTCTCGTTCATCTTGATACAGATGATTTGATCAATGTCTATGGATGGCGCCTTGAACAAGAACATGCTCTGCGAGAAAGGAAGAAGGGCGCCATGTCTGATGAGGAAGTGGTGCAGTTCGTGAAGGGGTATATGCCTGCTTACGAGCTGTATCTTGATCAACTACGTAGTGGGTTCTTCTCGGGTCAGCAAGAGGAAAGACAACTATCTGTCGTTCTGGACGAGCGAAGGAAGGTTATGGCAATTCGTCCTGTTTAACGTTATATGAGTACAGTGTTCGTTGGCTATGTACGATACGGAGCCGTTTATAACATGTTTCCGTGAATTATCCAAGGGCCATCTGCCACGCTCCATAGATCGTTCATGAACAGGTAAGAGGGATCGGAGAAGGAAAGCGGATCCTGTCCAAGTCCCTGGTTGAGGACGGCGTTGCTGTTCGCCATGTTGCCGAATATTAAACCGGCGGATGTTTGTGCGTGAGCGGCGTCGTTCGAATCCATCTCGACCATATCACTGGCATCACGATTGGGGTTGGGCGGGTCGCAGTGTTCAGTTGCGTTAACACCCTGAGGGGCAGAGTCTGCCGATGGTTCAAAATGTTGTGGACTCATAGAAGGCGACAGACGATGGTACGTTGTAGGCCCCGTTCTGTGGGTATTTGGAAAGGCGGAGTTCATGCCCATCGAAGCGGACGGATGACTTCTATGCTGGGACTCTGGTCTCATCGCCCCTCTGATATTTGAGGGGCCGAGCTGGGAGGCGTTTCCATCGGACAAAATCCTTGCAGCGTTTTCATGATCCTCCCGACTGGACTGGTTCATTGACAAGGCAGATACCATGCTCTTAATCCCCTCTATGCATGTTTCGGGCCAGCTACTTCCACGCAAAGCAAGATTCTGAAGGACAGAAGTCCCCATCCGACCGTATTTTAATGCGGTATCGATCGGGAGCTCGCCTTCCCATGACGCGTACATCAAGATGAGACAAGCCATCCATGTTGTCCATGTAAAGGAAGGCCAGGTCATTGGTGCTTGGGATGGAGAAGACATGTATTTCTTTAATGCTGCAAGCACAGATCGCGATGATTCAATACATGTCTGTAATGCATTTTTGCAATCCTGGTCCTGATTGGGCTTCTCGGCGGTAAGCAACGGTCTGTTCAAGGCAATGACTGCCTCGTGTCGTAGGACAACGAGAAGCAGTCGATGATATGGGGCTAGCGGTGAGCCTTGTCGTGATTCTGTATCTGCATCGTCCTCCGTAGGATAGACATCGTCGTACACTTCATTCCACCATTGTGAAAGCTCGCCGTTAACATACGATGCCTCAACAGGGCTGGCATGACTATGCAAGACAGACTTGTTGCGAAGCTCAATTATCAAGCCACGTACCCGGGCAACTTTAGCCATGTGGCAAGATAGTCGTAGTCGATGATCGACGTGGCCTTGTGGTGTTGCAATAACACTTGAGTGCCTTTCTTCGCCCGGATAGCAAACATCAATGTCGTCATCTCGGATGCTAAGCGGGATCCCGAGGGCTTGTGATAGATATCGTTCCAGGCTGTATATGGACCAGAACAATCGATATCTAATATCTTTTTCGAGGCTACTGAAGCACGAAAAGCGAGCAGGACATCGATGCAACCCCAGATGATAAGCAGTGCGAGTGATGACTCCACCAACCCGAGAAGCGGCGTTAAGACGTAACAGAGACGTCAGGGTCAGCTGGACACAGAACGTCGCTTGCAAAAGTGGTATCGTGGTTGGTTCCATGAGCAGACTCTGAATATCTTGTATGATGTGATGTACAGATTGAAATACCAGATTGGCTGGAACTGGTTTGGTGTTTGCACCCGAGCCATCTGTCTGTCGATTATCGGCAAGAGATATCGAGACGAGAGAGCGAATAATAATCATGTCTAGTCGGCTGATTGCTGGAATCCCCTGGTTCGCGAGAGTTTCCATCGACTTGAGGACAGTTGGTGCATGAAGAAAGGGAAAGATGGGGTGCCAGTTCTCAAAGTAGCAGCGAGTCCAACTGGCTAAATCATCGAATGATAACGAGGGATTTGACTCAAAGTTCAGCTCCTCCCTCGACCACAGCTCATCTGTATTGTGAGAGTTGAAGTCGCCGGAGTTTCGCTGCAATCGATCATCTTCTCCTGGCACCGAGGTTCGATTCCGTGCTCGCTGCAACTCGGCGGATCGACGAGCAAAGGCGTTGTAAACCTGACGAACGAAGTGAATGCCGCTAGAGCTTCCAAGAAAAGTGGCTGGTCCATCGTTTTGAGATTCTCTCATCACTCCGATCTCGCGGGGCGAAGGTCGTGATGCACCTGCGGTGGAGGCGCGCTTGCGTCTTTTGGCAGCACGGGGAGCGGCATGCCAATCGGTTTCATTCTCCTCCAGGCGGGAGCCAAATGAAGAGGGGGACACCATTTCAGTGCTTGCCTGTCGTCACATTTCCACGAAACGGGGTGTTATTCGCAGTGTTCGAAGTCGCACACTACGAATCCGAGGCTTGAAGTTATCGAGTTGGTTGCGGGCAGTGCTTAAAGTTGCTTAGTCATTGCTGGTGCACTTGACCACCACATCATATGTAGGTTAGTCACACAACCCGTACTGCCCTAAGCAGAATACCCTGCTTGAATAAAACTTCTCAATAAATATGGAATAAGTCAATATATTTTCTATTTAGCAGAAAGATATATCCCATGTCCCGTACAGTCCAGTTGACCTGCTGCTTGTCGGTTAGTGTCACGTGACTCAGTGACCTGGGCTACCAGCACGCCCTGTTAAGCCCCCTTCGCACCTCCAAGTTATCGTCTAGATAGCAAGAACGGAACCAACACTTTAGCCTCATAGGTTTCCTCGCTCGGCAATCCGACAGTCTTGAAAGTGGCAATTGCAAGTTCAACGTCATATCAACATCCGGCACTCGAACATCAATTCACCATAGAGAGTACCGTCGGAGGTTTCTTTCTCCGGGTGACGCGGTGGCTCCCGCAGATACATCAAAATCAGTCCGATCGGCGGCAAAAGACACTTTCCAGGCTGACTGCCCTTGATAGTTCACCGGAGATATTCTATTTTCATATCAAGTTGATTGTACTACAGGCGGTGAGGAATGGGACGGCAACGATCTAAACGGGCATCCAGTACCGACATGCCAGGTAGGTATAGCACCTTCACGTCTACGGACCTGTAAGTTGATGATAATTAGAAGATGATGATACTCTAAGTCCTATCTCCTGTGAGGTATGCAGGCAGCGGAAATGCAAGGTGGGTTAGTATTTCGTCGATCCATTGTTCCTGCAGCGCTAATCCCCGCATAGTGCGATCGCAGACTGTATGCTGAACCTCCAACCTTCGTATCCCCCCCTTCATCGGAGCTTTTTGGTCACTAACATATCCCTGCAGCCCGTATTGCTCTCAATGTTCCAACGAATCATCAAAATGCAAATATCCTGAAAGCGGCAAGAGGTATGAACATTCCGTGCGATCGGCCCGCACTCCACAGCTAATGAAATTTCCCTTGGCAGAGGCTTGCCTCTCGGATATCTAAATCAATTAGAGCAAAGACTTGCAGAGACCGAGTCGGCCCTGTATGGTGCTCTCATGACATTGAGCTCAATGGGTCCAACATCGACTTTGGTCCAAGCCAACACGAAGCCGGATTCGCTACAAAAGTCGAAAGCTGCACGAATGGACGAATGGTCGCGATTGCCGCTTCGAGATTGGCCCGACTTATACCACTGGAAGGCATCCATGTGCGATCAATTTACTCTCAACCAGTCGCAAGAGGTACCACTCGCGGATCATTCGACAGCTAGTCATGCCATTTCAGCTTCGCCTGCGGCTACGACCGTGCACAGTCACAGCCCTCGACGTGAATTAGAAGCGTCGGGACCGGCTAGTTTTGCGTGGCACCCAGGCGAAGATGTCAACATGGGCAGTCCCTATAATGTCTATCTTCGACCCCCTGGGATGGTTTCTTCTCCAATATATTCAAGGGATCCAGCTCCGGGGCCAACAGAGACCATAGCCAATCCATTTCCCGACTTTAGTACCGCCACGGTAACGGGCAATAGTGGGAAAGAAGACGAGCATTCCACGATGGCGGACCATTTGTCTAAAAGCAAGCCTAGCATATACTTCTAATAGCAAACAAAATAAAAATAAAAGCTTTTGTCAGAGTTACCCTCCGCTATAAATCGACGTGAAACAGTGGGCTTATGACATGATACGCCCGAAAATGTCGAACACGGGCTATGAACGATAGGATCCTGATGATGAGAAAATGCAGCGGCATCAGCGGATTCCTTCAACATCTCTCAAATTTAGGTCTTTGCCAAGGTGGCCAAGCCTCTACTCGGGATGGGTGGAGATCAAACGCACTCTAAAGTTAGGAAGAGCGACGCACAAACCCACAACCCGAGATGATTTCTAGTCCAAAGGTAGAGGCGGTACATTGGGAAAGCTGCAGCAATTCTTTGGATGGATCTTGAATCTATAAGAGGACTTATATGCAAGCTAATTATCTATGATGCCACTGAATATTTAGAAGACACAGCCTCTCCTTCCATATCTAGCCCTTCACCAATGTGACCCTCTGCCTCAAATCCCTCATCCATGCCTGGCCACAACGTCCGGCGGGTAAAGTAGGCCCATATGTGGAGACAAAAGCAACCTAACCATAGAGCGACTTGAATAATGGTAGCTGCGCTGCCAACCCACTGGATAGGCTTCGAAGCAACCAAGTCTCCAATCTTGATCGTTGCCAACGCAAACCCAGTATTGGGGAACACCGTTGCCCACCAAGTGATATCAAACTTCCACTCATGGTAGGCAGCAAAAATGCTAAGCCACCCAAGCATCCAGAGAAAAAATGAGAAGATCCACATGAAAATGGACAAGAATACCGCAACAATGAGTAGAACTTCTGCGGTATTGACGTGCGAGGCCAAAGGAATATAATGAGCAGGGAACTTTTCTGTTGCAATCTCAGCCATTCCCATTAGCGCGACTGCAGTAAACGCCGGTGGTCCAATAGCAATGAACATCTGAGGTCTACGGCGCATGGGCGGTAGGCCATGGTGGTGAAGGCCATGAAAATATTCACCTAGTATGAATAGGGAAATCAAGAAGCCGAAACCCTGCAAGCATGTTCCAGCAATAAGAATAGGGATGGCAAAGTGATTAGGCTGGGCTCCGGCGAGTAGTGAGGCAGTGGTACCGCCGAGCATGGCCGGAAAGGACGGAAGGAGGCGCACGAGCCAGAAAGGTTGTCGAGAAGCCATACGGGTTTGATAAAGATGCCAGTTAAGGCCAACTGCCAGCGACATTGCCACAGCTGCATAGACCCAAAATAGGACCAGCTGAACATATTTCAGCCAACTTCCACAGGCAGGAACGCCGTAACATTCTATTCCGAAAAGTATAGTAGCGAAGCCCAAAGCAGCTGTAGGAATGAGATAGGCTTCTTCCGGGTCGTTGAATGTATTTCTGAAAGCGTGTCGGTTTCGGGTGAATCGCGTGATGAGTGATGCCCAAATGGCCAAATAAGTGACAAAATCAAGAATGAAGAATATCTTTCCAATAATCATAAGACCAGAAAACTTGTGAGGGGTGTTGTAAAGCAGGGTACCAATGCTCCCAGTGCTCATCGAGACTGAAAACCACCCCCAGGAGACCCGACAAATTCTGTCGACAAAGGTCATTGAATGCATGATTCTGTCTTGAGCAGACATTCTAGAAAGACAAAAGAAACGTAATTGCTCAAAGAACCAAAAAGACAAAAGAAGCAAAGAAAAGAAAATGAGCAACGGAATGAAACTTCTGTAGGAAAATAATTGAGACAAATAGGGGAAGTGAGGCAACGGCCAGGTCAGGTTTCCTGACATCAGGATGGAGAAGGCAGTGGAGCCTAGGGGGTCTGGGGCCCCATGGATACACATAAGATGAAATGCCGACTTTCCGGTATGAGGTCAAATATCATATACACTCGTTCCAATGATCCTTTTCCGAAAAAATAGGCTCTTGGTACCGCATTTGTTCGCATACATGGTTATCCGTATTTACTCTCCCTGGAAGAGCTGTGCTCCAGTCATCCCTTGATTTCCATACCTCTTCCTTGAAAGGAGACCATGCTATAGAACTGGTGGCAGTGAGGCTTATGGTAAAGAAAATACCGCATTTGCGTTCCGGCTTTGGACGGGGGGCTCTCGAAACTTGGAAGAAGATCGAATGAAGTCATCGTGTGGCCTGAATTCTACACCGTCGAACGAGCTTCGTTGATGAGTAAGTCCTGGTAGTAATCGATGCATTTGCAATATATAGGAGCTGAACTCCGCCAAACGGCAGAAGTAGATAGCATCCTCTCTACCAGTTTGGATAAGGTTGCTATTTAAGCTATCCGTTCATATGGTTGTTTGCCAAGATAAGGAGAGCCTAATAGACTTGGCAAGACCTCCCCAAATCCTCGTAGTAGCTGCATATCAGATGCTTAGTATGGCTTACTAGCTTAATTTGACCAGTCATCTTCCAGGTATACATTACATGATGTCTGGGCATAGCTTGCTGTAGAAAACATTATTGCTCTGATCTATTCGCCCTTCATGAGATGTGGAATGCCAGACATAAAAAAAAACAGAATACGGATACTCTGGTAGTCTCAACAGGTCACTTGATCTCAATACTGCCTATTATCGTCATTTGAAATAATAAGGGGTTGGTCAGGGTCAAGTGCCCTCTGCATGTGGAAGCGTGACTTAGTCAGCCCATCGTGACAATGCGAGTCATCAAAAATGCTGCCATCTAGTTCAGATTACTCGCTACGAAACTTGCAATATGCGATAATTTCATGATTGGAGAGAATTGACAGCTCATAATCTGTCTCCCGTCATCTTCTCTGGCTGAGCCTTGGAGTCGAGACCATCTACCGGAGAAGGAAAGCTCCGACGCTTCATTCCCCTCAGCCGGTCATCCACCGGACTTAAACATCTCCGAGCCAAAATACCTCATTGGTCACAGAGTTAAGCGTCACAACAGATTGCCACTTTGAACTAAAGAAGACCGGTCCAGGCATTGGCATCAAACTGCTTATAACCGAGCAAACACTAAAGCTACCCCTCCATTTACCCCTCCATCTATCTCAAATCACTTCAATTTTACACACACCACACCTGATTCACAATGTCTCCCTCCGTCACTCGCAGAACATACAGCATTGCTTCTATCCCCGCGGATGGAATTGGTCCCGAGGTTATCGAGGCCGGTATCACCGCCTTGAATGCTTTGACCGATACCCTCCAGACTTTCAAGCTTGACTTCAAGCACTATGACTGGAGCTCTGAGACATACAAAAAGACCGGCAAATACATACCCGACGGAGGTCTTGACGAATTGAAGAAGCACGACGCTATCTTTTTCGGCGCTGTTGGCGCCCCTGGTGAGTACCCTGGCATCTGAAGACAAAACATTATCTAACAGTTGTAGATGTCCCTGATCACATCTCTCTCTGGGGTCTTCGTCTGGCTATCTGCCAGCCCTTCCAGCAATATGCCAATGTCCGCCCCACTCGAGTATTCCGGGGTACCCAGTCTCCCCTCCGCAACTGCAACATTGGGGATCTCGACTGGGTCATTATTCGCGAGAACAGCGAAGGCGAGTATGCGGGCCAGGGTGGTCGTTCTCACACCGGCAAGCCTTGGGAGTCGGCAACCGAGGTTTCTGTCTTCACTCGCCACGCCGTGGAGCGTATCATGCGTTTCGCTTTCGAGACCGCTCAGAAGCGGCCTCGCAAGCTCTTGACCGTTGTTACCAAGAGCAATGCTCAGCGTAACGGAATGGTTCTGTGGGATGAGGTTGCCAAAATTACGGCTAAGGTAGGCCACTCTTGCTAAGCAGACATCTTATTATCCGAGTACTAATATGGGAATTTTTCAGGATTTCCCCGATGTCACTGTTGATAAGATGCTGGTCGACGCTATGACCACCCGCATGGTTTTGAACCCCAAGAGTCTTGATACTATCGTGGCAACGAACCTACACGCCGATATCTTGTCTGACCTAGCTGCTGCTCTGGCTGGATCTATCGGTATTGCCCCTACTTCCAATCTCGATCCTACCCGCGAGTACCCTAGTATGTTTGAGCCTATCCATGGCTCTGCTTTCGATATCACTGGCATGGGCATCTCGAACCCTGTTGCTACCTTCTGGACCGCGGCTGAAATGCTTGCTTGGCTGGGCGAGCAGGAGGCTTCCGAGAAGCTTCTGACCTGTGTTGAGAATGTTTGCGAGCAGGGCATTCTCACTCGTGACCTGGGTGGCAACGCTAACACTAAGGAAGTTACTGATGCTGTTGTTGCCGAGATTAAGAACCTGGGCTCTAAGTAGAATCTTAGGATGACTGTACTATTGGCCCAAGAAGGCCTTCTGTTGTAAATAGGGTTGCAGAATCAAAGAATATAAACTACAGATATTGAATGAATATTGAGCACTATTATTGGAGAAACTCGGAACAAAGTTAGAACGTTGCGAGTACTTGAAATAATAAATATATTTCAGCTTTTTACTATTGAAGACTATTGAAGATACTCTCTCGGGGGACAACTCCGAGCCTCAAATCCAGTCACTCATCGCCTTATGCAGCTCGTAGAATTTTTTAAGAGTGCTACCAAGTTGAACACACTAATACGCCCTGGCTATCCTAGACATAGGGAAAGAGATGTGCCGACAGGAAATGATTATCAACCTCTATTAATTTTTTTCCGATCTCGGAGAAGCAAGTATTATGCGATATATTATCAGTTCTTGCATTTTTAGCCTATTACGATAAAGCAGCGCACGCATGGCAAGTCTATCTGCACATTGATGTAATTGCGTTATGAAAGTAGCCGGACATAGCAACCTCCGGTGAGTGTGGGCTGATTATCACTTCCTCCATCGTCGTGATGTGGTCCAATCATAATGCCGCATTAATTCAAGTGCCAAGTATTCCCCGCAATGCATGGGGAATTCCTTGTGCGCTTCCCCAGTTTTACGGGGACCCCAGGTCATTGACAGCATGTCTTGGGGTTGGCATACTCTTACCAGTCCGGGGATGGAAAAGTTTTGGTTCCTCCTATATAAAGGAACACAGTCATTTCCCCAAGAATCCACTTCGTTTTTATCTACTCATCTTTCTCATTCATGACTTTTGGTTGAGACCCCATTCAAAATGGCTCAACAACTTTTGCACCTTACTGGCAGTGCTCTACGCATGGCCCAGGTTATCCTCATTGTTGCTCCTGCTTTTATCATTTTCGGTTACAACCAGGCCGGGGCTGGCCCCCTTGCTACCCTCCAATCTTGGGTAAAGGTCTTTCCTCAAATCGACACAATCAATACAACAGGTGCTTTGGAGGCAAAGAATTCAACTGGAAAGGGAGCTGTCATTGCGTCCTTCCAAATCGGTGCGCTGATTGGTGCGCTGTTGTGTACTATCATTTCGGATCGTCTTGGGCGTCGCAAGACTATATTTATCGGTTCTATTTTCACCATCATCGGTCAATTACTACAAGTGTCAGCCTACTCTTTGATTCAATTTACAGTTGGCCGAATCATTCTGGGTATCGGTACTGGTCAATTCAGTGTTGCTGTCCCTGTTTGGCAATCTGAGTGCTCTTCCGCCAAGCATCGCGGTCAGCATGTCATCGCCGACGGTATCTTTATGTGTCTCGGATATGCTCTGTGCAATTGGATCGACTTTGCCTTCAGTCGACTTCCCAATGAGAATACCGGTCAGTGGCGTGGACCGCTGTCGCTTTCCTTCTTGCCATCACTGGTGATCTTGGTCGCAGTCTTCTTACTCCCCGAGTCCCCGCGTTGGTTAGTGAGAGTCAACCGTACCGAAGAGGCAACCGCTAGTCTTGCCGCATACAAGGGCATGTCTCCCGAGGATGAAGCTATCAAGTCGGAGATTTCTGGTATTGAGCTGTCTTTCGAGAATACCTCTCAATCCACAAGGGCGATCCGCGAGATGTTCTCCAAGGATGATGACGAGCGCTTGTTCTATCGCTTCTGTCTCTGCATCATCTTGCAATTTTTCCAACAAATGTGTGGTGGAAACCTCATCTCAGTCTACGCCTCCACCATCTTCCAAGAAAATCTGGGCCTAACCTCTAGTCTCTCAAAAATCCTCGCAGCGTCTGCACTCACGTGGAAGTTCGTGTGTTGTTTCATCTCCTTTTTCGCCATTGATCGACTGGGCCGCCGGGCGGTATTTATGATCAGCGGAACTGGCATGGCATTCTGTATGGCCGCATTGGCAATCACCACTAGCTTCGGAGTTGAGAACAAACAGGCGTCGATCGCATCGGTGGTTTTCATTTTCATGTTTAATCTCTTCTACCCCATTGGCTTCCTGGGCGGTAATTTCCTGTACTGTACAGAGGTTGCGCCCCAGCGCCTTCGAGTCGCCATGTCTGCTATCTCCACTGCCAACCACTGGCTCTGGAATTTTGTTGTGGTTATGATTACTCCGGTCGCTTTGGATACTATCGGCTACCGCTACTATATTATGTACGCGATCTTATCGGCGTGCATCCCGGTTCTGGTGTACTTCTTCTATCCAGAGACGATGAACCGGAACTTGGAGTTGATCAATCATGTCTTCCGGGATGCATCGTCGCCTTGGCAAATTGTCTCTATGGCACGTCATCTCCCCCAGGGAGAAATTACCCCGGCAGAGTTGGTTGCCTACAACAAGGAGAAGGATGATTGCTCTGTTGAGATGAGAGAACATGCATGATTGATGATATTGTAGCTGAGTTACGTTGGCGAGATTTATGACATAGTCTAATCTGCATGTTTTCACGAAATATATTCTACATAAGACAATTGGTCACGTTTACCCTGTTTGTCGCACCTACGTAAGGGTTTTCTGAATCGTAACCACTATGCTTGTCACCTAGCCCCAGCAAAGACAAGGTGGAAAACACGAGCAGATGTAGACCCTTAGCATACTGCAACCATGGTCTGATAGGAGGGACGGGAATAGGGAAATATGACGAACCTATTAGAATGCTGGCAGAAAGCCCGGAGAAAAACACCCCGCGGCTTGCCGGTCAAATATGCCGCAGCCTCATTTATCTCGGTTTATTGAGCCGTAAACCAGAGTGGCTAGCCCTGGTTAGTCCGATTTTCGGAGGTTTCTTACCCCGACTTAATTTCCGCGGGGGGGTTGGTTCAAGAATGGCTTCCTAGGCTTGGCATCATCAGCCGCGTCGGAGGTGATTTTCTCTGCGAAAGTCGGGGGTTAGTGTGGGTCCTCTAACGGGATCGGACTATACAGCTTGCTGCCGGTCGCGATAAGCCGTCACATCCGGGGTTCATACTGGCGATTCATGTATGTTATCATTGTAGATGCCATGTCTCTTACCCGGTCCCGTCGGACTTGTTGGAAGCCGTTTCAAGATTTCTGACGTAGGGTATGGTCGGCTCCTAGAATCGGGCTGTGTCGTATACTGGTGACGGAGTCAATATGGTAGCTTATTATATATCATGCTAATCCTTGGATGAAAGATATAGAACCCCATGCTTATACTGGATAATTAATTACTATTATCAGCACAACAATAACTCCGTCTTCAGACTATCCTCGAGCATTACTGCGTATCTACACAATCATGGCTCCCTCCACCAATGACTCTCCTCTTGGTATTTCCACCTCACCATTCGCCTGCAGAGTAGGCATCAACGGCTTTGGCCGGATAGGTATGTTATTATACCTTCTCAGGTAACAGTACAGCCCACTCAACATAGTTCCTAGGCCGCAACCTCCTCCGCGCATCCCTCGTCCGCTCAGACATTCAAGTCGTCGCTATCAACCACACCTGTGTCACAGTCGAAGACCTCATCTACCTCATCCGATATGACTCCTCCATGGGAGACCTAGACGATGGAACATCTATCCAAATAAAATCCGAAAACCTCATCATCATAGACGGCAACCCCATTACATTGACCTCTGAGCGCGACCTGAAGAAGCTCAAATGGGATGCCCTGGGCGTCGACTATGTACTCGAATGTACAGGCAAATTCACAAAATCGCACCAAGCTATAGATCACATCACCTATGGAAAGGCAAAGCGGGTCCTGATCTCTGCACCTTCTGATTCGCCCACCTTTGTCTATGGCGTTAACTCCAACTCGTACCGTCCTACTGAGGAGAACCTGGTTATCTCAAACGCCAGCTGCACAACGAACTGCGTTACGCCGGTGTTGAAGGTGCTTCATGAGAATTTTGGTGTCGCTCAGGGATTCCTGACAACTATTCATGCTGCTACTCGGTCTCAGCAGGTTCTGGATGGGTATAGCAAGAAGAACCGCCGGCTTGGTGAGTTACCCATTCCCCACAGGCTTGATGGACTGGAACTGATGGCTCTGTTTATAGGTCGTGGTGTTTTCAACAACATCATCCCGACAACTACTGGCGCTTCAAAGGCCGTCGCTTCGGTGCTGCCCGAGCTAAGCGGCAAGGTGACGGGCGTATCGATCCGTGTACCGACGTAAGCTTCACTGGAGTCTCTTCATAACCATCACTTACTAACCGAACTGGACACAGGCCCAATGTCTCAATGATCGACCTTACAATCAGTACCGAAAAGCCCACATCCCTCTCAGAAATTATTTCTACCTTCCGCGTCGCATCCAAGTCCAGCATGGCTGGCGTGCTGAGGGTTACAGATGAGGAGCTCGTAAGCGCTGACTACAATGGAAGCCCATATAGTGCTATCATTGATGCGCCGGCATGTTCGGAGCTGAATCCTCAGGTGAGTAGGCGCAATGGCCTTTATGGATCTGAGGCATGCTGACCTGTTTATAGTTCTTCAAAATCATGGCATGGTACGATAACGAGTGGGGTTACTCGAACCGTCTACTGGATCTGGCGACACATGTCCACGCTGCTCAGAACATGCAATAAGGTTCTAGATTGGATATAATAATTTTTTAGCATGGAAAATGAGGGCGTTCGATGGTAGCTTCGCTTTAATATGATTCCTGCAAAGCTATCGCACACGATATCAGCTTAGATGATTTAGATTATTCCAACCTAGTAATGAAAAGCGATTATGACTAACAAGAAAATTTGGACGAATAAGGCTATCTGTTTCAACATTTCATTTCTCTACATCAAAAGCAAGTCTTACTTCGAATTTCTATGGCGGGTACTAGTGTCAAATCAGAGGCTATAGGTAATCCCTTCTTTCATCCTCTTTCCTTTAGTTGGCCATACAAGCAAGAAGTTCCATAAGCAGAGGTCATCCCTTTCGACTGATGGGTTCCCCTTTCTCTCCCTGGGAAAAGGGCCCAAAAAAAAAAATAAATACAAAGTTTGGGTTGCGCCGGGGGGGAGAGATCATTGTCTCTGTACTAAGTAGACGTGACCGGCCTCCGACGCAAGCTCCGGACGCATAGTCATTCGGCCTCTCCTCTCACAGCATCAAGTGCGGCTGTGAAAGCGGCTAGCAAACCCAAACCCACCGTACGCATTCCAGTTGCTCTCTGTCTCTGGCAAATCATTCCGAAGCACTGGAATATTTTCGAGCTACAAAGTAGCTAGCGTGTCGATAGGATATCATCCATTCATACCACCAAGCTAGACAAGTGGATGTAAGGCTGAAACTGCGAGTGAACACTTTGCATGCGCGCGAAGCTGTAAAGCAGGATCAATCAATCAATGGTGTCGCTGCTGTTCTTGTCTATTCGCTCCAGAGCTGAGGGACTTGTCGAAAGGGGTTTTCATCCTTGTCTATCGTCGCTAATGGCCAATGATCAGGGGACCGCAAGTCAAGCATGAAACACGATGATCTACACATCGTCCTCTTGCCTTTGTTGTGATATTTGGGCTACCTAGTAAGGAATGGGTTCTATTGTTCTATTATGTACGAGCGGCTGTGTCCGGCCGCTGATTTGCAAGATGGATGCTCTGCATTAGCGGCAACTCCACCTCCCAATGCTTTTCTATATTCAGCCTCTAACCCCGCCTCTTCCACGCCATCCCTTGGCCTCTGCATCGAACGACGCATGCCTCGACACTGTAAGCGCCGAACGTTAGTAGCCACCAATAGGTTCGGTCCGTCTGTGTCGTACCTGGTTCCTCCGCCTGAGACTCGATTTCCCTTCTTGCCTTGAGGGATGATTTGAATACATAGTAGTACCTCTATTGATATAGTAAGAGACAGAAACTAGAAACCAGAATACAAAGGAGTAGGTTGTTACCAAGCGTTGTCGACGACCCGACTGACTTGTTTACCGAATGTAGCTCAATTGGTATCGTTCTGTTTTTGAAAGATGCTAATGACGTTAGGCATGGGTGAAATCATCTCCCTAGAGATACCTCCCCGTAGTCAAAGCCCAGACAATATGGCGCATTTGCTCGTACAGGTCCTCATGACTCGGGATTTTCTCCAGCAGCATATCTACGAACTGTGGTCCGAATGATCTCTTCTTCTTAATACCCACATAGTCAAACCCGTCTGGGTAGATCCCGGAGTTTCCCCAATCAATTAGCCAAACAAGTCCCTCCCCATCAAGGATCAAATTCCTGGGCATAACATCCTGGTGCGTCAGAACGAGCTTATCAAAACGGAAAGGTGGAATGTCATCAGGCACTCGTTTGAACAAGCGTCCGACTTCCAATCTTCCATCAAACCACGCCTCCAATTCCCGTGTCGAGGAGAATGGCCCAGCCCCTTCATCGAAAAACATATAACCATAGGCCAGACATCGTGGCTCTCCGACTGGGCCAGGCAGACTTTGATACTCTTCAGGCAGTGGAATAGAGTGCAAGGTATCTAACATGGAAGCGACTTGAGTGACAACGTCCAAGCGCTTCTCCTGGCTCAGATCATCCCAGCAGCGATCGACAGTTGTACCATGAATGAAATCCATGACAATGAGGCAGTTCCACACTTCCCAACTGTTGTCCCTATTGATGTTGAGAACCCGGTGGACCCTAGGCGCTCGGATCCTTTGTGCTCCACTTTTCTTGTCTGCCTTGGCGATAAAGCTCAACATGTGGGCTTCGCCTGGTTGTGTCCTTTCACCGCCCTTGAGAATCAATGTCTGTGACAGGCGAACAATCCGTGTTCCTCCAAAATCGTGAACGACGGGGGCAGTTTCGAAAAGTTCGATTAGCGTCTCATTGGAGACCTGGGAGATGTCATGGCCATCAAGCGGGAACTTCTCGGGCTCAGCTGAACCCTTTGGGAGCTGAGGCTGTAGAGGTACCCCATTGAGTTAGCTTATCATTAAAGTATTCGATGGGACAGGAATTGAATTTACCTGGGGTGTATCAGATATTTCTATACCGGGCATCTTGTAGATAGAAAATAGACGACTATAAGCCTAGATCGAATGGGGATCTGAATCTCGATAGAGTGACGGAAGTTTGAATGATGAGATGGGGATGGATCGATCCCTTGGTAGGGCATCAGAGGTGCAAATTAAGCAAACATGCCTAGCACCATGTGACAAGTCAGCCATGCGGGTAGCCGCTCACAATCAAAGGCCTCCTTTTGAGCCCTTGAAGTTCATCCCCCCAGGGGAAAGGGAGGCAGTGCTTGACCTTCCTATTAGGTGGGTCAATGTCGTTGCGCATGACCCGCTTGAAGGAGGAGGCAATCATTGGTGCTTCTATCTCAATGTTACCGACGCTCGTTCGGTGCGGATTGACATGACTCCGTCGTACACCGTTCCTGGTGTCACGAACCGCAGCGGCAGCAAGGGTATCATGGTTGTTAGTCACCTTTCATACGCTGTCTCGCGGTCGGCAGAAAAGGTCATGCAAATTCAATCTCGCCCTGGCTGCAAAGCGAGAGATTTCATCAACTTACTCGTGAGCCAAAAGCGCCATCAATATGAGTTCACTGCCGACGGCGAGGGCTGCAGGTTTTGGACCGACCAACAAATTGATTTCCTTCAGAGATCTGGATTACTTGTGGACCCTACCCAGGTTGCAGCTGCCAAAAACGCCATTCTCACTAAGTGGCCCAGTGGAGGCAGATACCCTCTTGTGGTTGGCACCTATTATCCCTGAGTGTCAACGCATGCGGAGGTATCATGAATGCGCTTCCTTCGGGAAGCCAAATGCCCGTGTGCTTTCTGTGCTTTGCCCTTCCTGTCCGGTTTCTTCATTGATTTTCTGCCTGGTTCTTTTCTGTTTATTGTGATTTATGTGTTCTGTTTGCATCTGTTAAGAGAGTGTACAGCAAGCGGTTTGATGTCATGTGGAACTACGGTGTCATCTTTATACTTTGTAGCACGAAGTTGTCAAGACATGTATACATACATCATCCAATAGAGCTTTTGTTAACGCGATAAAGTCAGGCTTCCAGGGCATCTTCCGAACTATATGCCCGTAGTCATGTGTGCAGTAAAACGTCATCAGAACATATACTAGTAGTGCTTACGGGTGCTGCAAAACCTGCATCAGAAATGTATGAATGGATATACGACGCTAACGGGACCTCAATAGGCCTTGACTGCTAGCTCAAGTGAAGCACTAATATTACTAACCCCTTGCCTTCCGTTTCTCTAAGAATGTTGGGTCGTACAGCTGGGTTAAAACCTATCGATCATCTGGATTTTGCAAATCATACAAATTTTTCACTTGAACGACTTTGACCGATAACATATCCATACTTTACCAGGCTGTCAATACTACGAGAAGAGAACTATACAATTATGATCTACTCATACTCCACTGAACAGCGGTAGCTGAATGCTCAGCAATAGAAATTGTAAGTCTTACCATCTTCAGAGCATCAGATCAAACCAGATTATTTTTCTACTCATGGGCATCTGGGTATGATCAATATAGTTGCCATAGAGCAATTCATGGTTATCTGTGCCGAATCTCAGTATTTTGCAGCAATTCTACTTGAGTATTCTTCAAGCGGCATTGCTAGTGGCAATGTATCCACAGATGACCTTGGGGTCACTAGTAGTACAAGAAGGTAATCCCCGGCAGTCGCATGCATTTATTTCACTTTCGAAGCGGTCTACACTCAACGATCAGTAGTATACTTAAGAGACGTATGGCCTTCTAAGTACTTTGACAATGTATCCTCCGCTCGGGTGCTCAAGTGCGGGGATGAGGAAGAATTTCTGGAGCAACTTGACTATCTAGGCGACCATATGCTATGGGTTTTGTCTTCTGCCCTGCGTATCTATCACAGTTTTAAGATGGTGATCTAGGTTTCAAATAAGGCTCAAGCCCTTGTAATCCTGTTGCACAATCTTCTCCAATGTCTGCCTGTACGTCGCTAGCCCCCCAAAGTAAAATAACACGGAAGGCTTTTTACCAGCTACATTCGCCCCAAAGATCCAGGAGGGCGTTTTCCAAAACAGACTGTTGGCGCTCGCCTCATCGCATTGTTGCATCCATGCTTTTAACACTGTGGTGTCAGCCTCCACACATGGACCATTTACTGCCGATTGAGCTGCCGCCACCTTTCTCGCGTGGGAGATCATGTCAGAGATGAACTCCACCTGAATCTCAATCAAGGGCGGTATATTGGTGAACGGACCAGCTGGGCCGAGAAGAGATTCGGGAATCCAGGGATGCAGGTTCCTAGGAAAGAGCTGGACTCCTCCTTCCACCGATTCTTGAGAGTGTCTCCCAGGGCACCCTGAATATGCATCCGCTTGTAATTTCCATCTACCGCGTCAAAGCCTGTTGCGAAGATGAGGATATCCAGCTCGTATTCCGATCCATCGGCTGTCCGTATTCCTTTGTTTATTATCTGGGTGGTAGGGTTGGTCCCAATATTAACGACATCCACATTCGGACGATTGAACTATTCATAGTAGCCTGTATCACACAGTGGGCGCCTGGCATACCAATCATACGGCATGAGCTTCTCGGCCTTGACAGGATCTTTCACCTTTGAGGAATATTTCGGCGGATAGAGTCTGCAGCAGCTTTGTTTGCTTCCTCATCGGAAAAGATGTCGCAGAACGTGCCAAACATAAAGTAAAACCCATTCCCTTTTGCCCAAGCATCTTCAAAGATTTTTTAGCGCTCTGCCTCGCTGACACTGAATGTGGGCTTTGAGCTTTCTTCGAAGCCAAAGCCAAGGACGCTGTTCATTACCTCGCCCCATACCTGCTCCCAACGCTCATCCGACTTTGCTCGAGTGGCCGCAGGGGCCTCTGCGTCACCTGCTGGAACGACAGACTATGGGTGTCGCTGGGAGGAGAGTAGTTGCTTGACGTTTTGATCGGCCAATGCAGTGACCAGCTGAACACCTGTGGATCCGTTCCCAATTACTCCGACGCGCTTTCCTGTGAAGTCATAGGAAGCGGGCCAATTCCCAGTGTGATACATCTCGCCTTCATATGTCTTGAGCCCAGGGATATCAGGGTAATTGATTTTAGATAGCAGTCCCACAGCCGTCACAATATATCGGGCTGTTAATCGAGGGCCAGCTGACAGCGAAACAGTCCACAAGTTATCAATCTCACCGTAAATAGCTCTTTGCACCTCTGTGTTAACTGCATGTGTTTGCGTAGATCGTGTCTGTCGACAACATTCCTCAGGTAAGCCAATATCTCGGGCTGCTTCAAATACTCTCGTTTCCAAGAATATTCGCGAAGATCTTCAAGGTCCCACGAGTATCGGTAGAAATAAGATCATGTACTGGCTGTACCATGAGCATACTCCCATGTATCGTGGTGTGTCGACTTACTCGCCCTTGGTCTGTGAGCTTCTTGCACATGTAGATACCTCCAAACCCGGCCCCTACGACAATCGCATTAAAGTCGGGTCGAGTTGGAGCATACACAGGCATTGTCAAAGAGGCTTTCACGGTAGCAGACAGGTTTCTAACAGCTAAAATGGGTTGAAATAGCAATTAGAAATAAGCCGACATTTATCTAGATTTGTACGTGGTGTTGTAAAGGATGAACGCACCATCTATCCACTAACAGTCGTAGATCTTCACCACCCCCATCCCCAACCCCCTGCTATCCCCTCGAAGATCAGCCGGGGTGAGCATGTAGCCGTATAGATATGGTGAGCGGGGCAAGTCCAGCCGCGGCAGCCTTGCATAAATGAATATAGTCTCATTGACGCAGCTCCCACCCAAGGCGGAGATCTGCAGCGCGCTGTCAAATTACCCTGCCAGAATATTGCTCCTCCTGAGTCTCTGATCATCGCGCTATATGCGACGCGGTGAGACCGGAGCGGACCTACTCCTTTTTGGAGTCGTTTGCATCTGGACTCTGTCTTCCAACTCAATACCAATTATGCTAAGTGTCAAAGACTTCCAGTCTCCCGCCTCGGCAGCTAATACACTCCAGGATTGTCAGAAAGCTCAATGGCACCCCCAAAGATCCGTCTCATTTTTTTTTCTTCGACACGTAGCCACTAGAGGTTTGTGTATATACTCTACCTCCTGGCGAATAGAACCAGGGACCTGTAATTGTAGTCAATTGCCGAAACACGGACAATCTTACACGTAGAATCATACCATGCGGCAAGATCCCCTTTCCGTGGAGTCCAATGGCAACATCACCACAGCTTTAGCAACACCTTCAGACCCTTTACTGGGATCCCATTTTCTATCATATCTCCGTAGATCACCTGCCAGCGCCCACTGGAATGCCGGAATTACTCGCCGCCAGTCGAGATTTACGTGACATCCCAGTTACGGCATGCTAGGAGGTGATCTACCCGGTTACACCTGTACCACCAAAAAAGCCTGAGATTGAGCTGACAAGATTGACCGCCCCGCATATTATAACTTCTGTCAGGGTAGCAAGGCTGGTTTTCCCTGCGTAGTAAATGTAGCTTGGCTGGTTCGGTTCATGAATTTCCTTCGATTCAATGTCAATGACTCAGGAAAATACTGTTCAATATGTTCTCTATCCTCGAGGACGAGAGACCTCGAGATGCTTCTTCAAAACTTCTAATTTTCTAGTAGAAAAAGATAAAAAACATACAACAGAAGGGATTCGCTGGTGGTCACCCACCCAACTACTAACCTCCCGGCGTGTGGCTTAAGTACGGCTGAGCGGACGGGAAGCCCTGTTTTCCACACCCTGTGGTCGTATGTGTTTTGCTTCTCACAAACGCCGCTTATATAGGTATATGCACTCTAATATTAGACTGAAGATACTTGATCTTCACTATTCCCCAAAACTACTTGCAAGGTGATCACCGATGTACTTGATGCCCTCCGCGCGGTAAACATCCGACCTAACGTATGAGAGATTTGAGACAGTATTGTCAAAGAAAATTATTTCCGGATTATCGATATTGTATCTCGGCCAGTGGACATTCTCTAAGAAAACAGTTAATTCAGCTCTTGTTTGAAATTGCGTACTAATCATAAGAACGGGTTGTGGGCCCTTACCTCCAGAGTAATTTGGGTCCAATGTTGTCACAAAACTGACCCACATTCTTGACATAACTGTGCTCAGGTGTGAATAACTATTTGGTATGCTCTCCATGGTCGTCTTGTTGAAGTCATACCACACGCCATCACCGTTATGAAAGACGTAGGGCATTTCTGAACCATGAGTGGCCCCGGCATAGGATCCAGCAGCAGGGCCATTCCCAGGACTGACAGTGTCAAACCTGTAGCTATACACCGAGACATTGCGGGATGACCATGCCTGGCTAGCAAACCTACGCGGGCCATGGATGTTTACATCACCCTGAAATGCGGCCACACGCTTGTATTGCCTTCCATATCCGGACGGTGGCTTTTCATCCATTATGGCGGGGATCCCAATTTGAGGGATGTTTGGGTACAGGGCCTCCAAAATATCAGTGGTAACGTTGTCGAGGCCCCAGTCTTTGACTAGCTCTCGAAACTCGGCATCCGTGTTGACTCCCGTTACAGCAAATGCTGTCCCTTCGTCGGCGTTAGCTCCAATCAGGTATGGAACTTTGACAAATTTGCCCTCCTGCAGCTGGATCGTGCCACTTTCTTCAATGAAGTCGTCATCTATGACAGGAATGAATTTCGCTCCGCTGAGGCCAGATATAGAGTGCCCGGGTACAATAGACGTGTTATCGAAAATACTGTGCAATGTATCAGTTGGGATCGTTCGGAGGCAAGCCAAAGTATCCGTTGCTGAACTGCAGCCCGATGCATTCACAATGCCATCATAATAGGGCTGCCAATCGTCAGGTGTCGGATAACGTTGATAAACACTCGGGGCACCACTTTCACTGATTGCTGCACGGAATATACCATCGTCACGCCCTCCGTAAGCAACCAGATGCGTGCCAACACTATTAGCGCCGGCACTTTCACCCCAGATCGTAACCTGAGCAGGGTCGCCACCAAAAGCAGCAATGTCTAAGTCATGGTCAGATCCGTAGTATAGGTTCAGTACAAATATACGTACTCTCTTGTATCCAATGAAGAGCTAAGCGTTGGTCTCTAAGTCCCAGGTTCCCTACTCCGGCTTCCTTCATCTCGTTGCTCCACATGAAACCCCAGCAATGAAGACGATAATTTAGACTGACTGCGACAATGGGCTTTCCCATTTGGACCGACTGATCAACGACGAAGGAAAGATTGTACTGTTTCTCTGATGAAGAGCCGGAAGTGTATCCGCCGCCATGAATCCAGACTGCGCCCGAGTGCAAGGTCAGTTCTAGCCTTTATGATTAGATCCGGGAAAAATACTGACCAGCAACGGGCAGACTGCTATGGTGAGCGATGCTTGCCGGGCGGACGACATTCAGTGTAAGACAGGCTTCGGAAGCACCCTTGGTCTGATTGAACCCGACGCAAGCAGGTGAGTATTCCGTTGCATTTCTTGGCACCGGCCAGGAGGCGTTCATTGGCCGTGGGGTCTGCAAGCGAAGTTCGCCAACAGGTTGCTGTGCATAAGGCATGCCAAGAAAGAAGTCTTGATCATAGTCTGGGTTGTGAAGTCCATAGTAGGTGCCATTCTGTACAGTAACTGAGGGGTTTGGAGTTATTCCCCGATGTTCTACTTTCCCGGCACTTGCAATCAATGGAATAACAAGTGCTAATAGAGGAAGCGATGAAACAAGCATCATGGGGCCTTTCCTGGGAATATGTGAGCTTCAATTTGTTGAGGTCGGAAAACGTTCTTGCGTGACTAGAGGGCATTTACATACTAAGTAACTAACCGAGATGAGGAATATAGTCGGAACATAGCCGGAACATAGCCGGACGTTGCTCCACGTTTGAAACTTTATTAGAAAGCCAATGTATGAGTCATTTATTTGCCTGTTACTAGCCGTGCTACTCACTTGGATGAAACGGTTTACTGGACTATGGTACTAAACTAAGATACCACGTATTTCCGGATCTGCAGCAGAGGTAACATGAGAAGAGCAATCAGCGCGGAAAACGTCCGCTATTAGCTGCTGAGAATCGAAGCCGCATATGGAGGGAAATGATGTCTCCTGACCAATTGGACAAGCCGGACCGATCAGGGTATTCAGAGCCCTCATCTCACATCCTCTTACCGTCTAGTGCAGCATGGGTTAAAATCCTAGACCTTGGAACGCTGATGCCAGAAATGCAGAGAAAGGCGGGTGGATGTTAACCATAGAGGCAGGGGTCACAGTGGTCTTGGCCGTCAGTTGACGCATACTAAGCACTGCTCGACATACAATGTTGACTGGGTGATTAAATGCTTTAAGAACAACAAAGAGCAGGCAACAGGAAACTCATTCGACCGTAAAAAAGAACTGATCGAATGGATCGATGTCCATTAACAGATCCTCCTCGAGTTCCATACCATCTATATCACCCCAATCACCAAGGTCATGAAACATCTGCGCACCATGTGTCCCGTTCAAAACTGGATCTAATGCAACCTCGCCTGTCTCAGCACTCCGGATTGCACCAGCCAACCAATCATCGTTCCAGACAGTGTACGAATCCTCTCTATCCCTAGCATGCGCAGTCGAACCTCCGTCAACGGTAGGATCTATCATGAGGATTTGGTCCATGTAGTCCTGTACCGTGCGGTAAACCTCTCCCGCGACGCGGTTGCGGAACTTTGTCACTGCATCATTGAAACTGGTCAGGATTTGATGGTAAAGCTGGGCCTGTGGGCTAGTTCGGCCAATATCATCGAGGAGATGTAAGGTGCTGTTGAAGAGACTCTCAATGTCACGGCGAGGCTCTCCAGCAAACATAGAGAAGCCTAGGATAAGGCCGGCGCCAAAAATCCAAGCTCTATGGGTAGACATTAACATCAAGTCTTTTCAAGATTAGGTTTGGGAGGAAGGAGTTTGAACGAAGCGAGGAGGTAAAAGGGGGCATACTTGAGGAGACAAAAGTTTCGAAAAACGAGCCCCGCCGACTTTGCCCGTCGACACATATCTATCATGTATAAGGAAGAACTTACGCACACCTGGGCCAGTTTGGATACTTTATTGTTCTTAATAGCGACATCAGAGGCCTCATCCGGGTCACTGATCAAATGGTCTGGTGCTTTCCCACGAAGACGAGATACGAGATACGCGATCAGATACGGCCGGGTTACGAGGATTACCGCAAAGTAGTATAGGCAGGAAACGTGAATGCTTCCAACAAGTCGCTGCCGAGCTGCAGGTTCCAGGAATGGTGGGCCCTGGGAAACACTCCGGAACTGGCGGAGAGAGGCGGGCAGGCTAGAACTCCATTTCCGGAGTTGCGAAAGCAGGCCCTCGGCTGTGGGGACGTCGAGAAGCCCGCCATTGCTCAGTGTGTCGACGATATTAATGAGTAAAGTGCATCCGTTGCCAATGGCATAGAATGCTGAGTGAGGATTCAACTCATTGGTATCCGACATACTCTGCACTAGGGGGAGGCTTCTTGGCCTGGACAGAACAAAGCTGCTGAGAATATCAAGATTACGCATGCTGTGCCAGATTCTTCGTCTGCCAGGTTGTGTCAGTGTCCATTGTTAGCACTAGCATTCAATTACTATAACTCACCTACTTTCATAATCTTCTTTGGAGAGCGTACTATCGTAACCCTCAATGCTATGAAGCTCTAGGATTATGGCTGCTCGCGCAGCTACCCCAAGAAACATGGAAGCGGCATTTCGATTGCAGGCGCCCAGCATGTAAAATGCCATTAGCAAAAAAAGCCGTACAGTCCCAATGTTCTGGCCCATCAGCATGTCGTTGAACGCTGCCTGGCGTGCACGGAGGAAGTACTCGTTCGCTACCTGGGAGTCTCTATCTGATCCTCTAATTTGGGCACCAATAGATAGAGCGACGCCTATGGCTGCGACATCCTCCCGCCTCACAGCTGCAATGGATGTGGGCTGCCGTGAAGAGGTGTGTGCTTCAAGTAAGGTCTCGACCTCCTGGGCTGTGAAAAGATCCAGAATCCCGCTTGTCTGTGTACATTTTTAGAGACGATAGTAGCGGGCTTCATCCTAGGTACTTACTGCCTCATAATAATATTCTATGTATGAATGAATCCTTTTGGGCTCGATATTTTGATCGTCCTCGGTTGTAGAAGAAAGATCTGTATCAATTATAATGTGGTGTCGCTCAGCATCCGTAAAAGGCACCGAGCCCACATAGGCCTTAACAGTTTTCCGAAGGAAATGTAAGAACGACATAACGGAAGTTTCGCCGACGTCAACTACAAGAAAGCATAGTTTAAGTTCTCGAGATTCTGTATCTGGCTCATGGATATTTCCACACCTTTTGTTGACTGTTCCGGTGCTAAAGATAACCGCTCACGCAGAGAGGTTTCAGGGGGATGTGTATCATCACTCCGTGACTCGGGTGTGACCATCTCAGATACTAGGGTCTCAAACTCGAATGGTGTATTCTCATTCTCAGCGGCAGTAGCACTGTTACTCTGCGAAAAGCCATCCTGCCTGTCAATGGCTCGGCTGTGTGGATTCCGTACGGCATCACCCGTTCTCCGTTTGCGACGGTCCATACCAGAATAAGCACATGTATGAGCTTGTCCCCGTCGCATACATGAGGAACATGGGCGTTGTGAGTCGCACCGGATCTTCAGGATCTTGCAGGTCTGACAAGCGTGGCTGGACCGTCGTCGATCTTCCGGGCGCACTTTTGGACGTGGCATGGTCGGGCAAACGTATGGTAGGGTTTGCCGGTTGTGAAAAAAGTAGGGATTCTAACCAGGTAAGTGGGAGAGCTCCGGGGAAGATACTCGGAACTGCGTCTGAGCTCTCCAATGTTTATTTGTCTTTTCCCAATCATTTTAGGGCACAGATCCTACCCCGCACTAGAGGCTGGGCGTTGCTGTGATAAGTCCGAGATGCAACAAACGGTTAGATAAGGAGAAATCAAAGGCAAAAACGACGTCTCTGAGTCTTATCTGTGCTTTATGTATGCTCTTTTGCTTGTATGCGGTGCTTCGGTCCTGATAGTGGAGTGATTCAGAATCTCGGGACCTGATTACGGGGACAATCGGCAGGTACGGGGTACCCTATGAGAAGATACCCATTACATCAATCACTCTATTCCTTTTCGGTTAATTCTTCAGGAAAAAATTATAGAAATAGAGTTGTCGATGGACGGTACCGTGTGTGAAAGATACGGCCCATACCATCCATCCCTTAGCCGGGCGACCGGGTATTTCCCGCCCGTTATCCTCCCCTTTCCCGTTCCCTTTTGCGGTCAGAACACTTCCGTTAAGCAAGTTTGGGGGACACCGTCGGTTGAACCGAGTCCACTTCCCGAACCGAGTGCTCAAACATTCTATTTGATTCCACAGAATTCCTATCCCTCATCTTCTTCGCTGTGTCGCGCCCAGCTCCTGGTACTCTATACTCAAGTTTCGTCTTGGTGCCCATATGCACACCCGTAGGCGCGGGGTGTGTCCAAGGAAGATATTCTGGCATGAGCCCTAACTGAATCAGAGCAGTGAGTTGATCCCACGCAATGTGCTCGTGGTACAGCCGGTCACCCCTTATGTTGACAACTGCGGTAAAAGATATTTCTAGTTTGCGACCAGTGGGTGGGATACCAGGAAGCCTGCTACAGATTAGTTCGAGTAGATCAAGCAATTGGGTTGCGAAATAATAGTAAGATGGAATAAGTCCTTACAGCCAGTCAATCTGGGTGTCGTGCGTGAACTTGTATATAAATTCATCAATGACACGATCAATACCCACCGTCCGACTGATAAGCTCAAGTTCCGCGTCTTCGGGGTTATTGAAAACAAAGTGGTTCTGGTAGAAGTATGAAAGGCGATCCCTTCCAATACCCCCCGTTAACTGCAAGTTGCTCAGCTCAGTATCTTGTTAAGAAGTGTTCGGCACTTTGGATCTTACCGTGGGAATATGATTCACATACGGCTCTTGCACCATGGTTGCCATCGTATGAGGTACAGAGCGCGTCTCAAACTCATGATACGTATGTTCTTCCCAGATGGCCTCCAAATCGAAGTATGGGCCCCCCATTAGAGGTTTCAGGAAGCTTAGGTTTCGTGTGTGTGATACAGACTCGGCGGTGTAATCGAACGCCGGCTGAAAAGGGGTGGCAAACTGATATGTACTGACAGCTGCGTATCCATACGCCTGGCAGTTCTCGGTGTTGGATACCATTTTTGCTGTCGCAGATGCTCCAGCCAAGTGCTGAAGCATTGGGAAGACTGGTTTGGGGATCGGCGAATCCACATTCCCATATACCACCACTCCGACAACCTCCTGGTGAGCGTGCGCTGATGCAGCGACCTTCAGCCATGCGTCGGGGTCGTATGCTGGAACAGAGATGTTAGCTGCAGTGGTCAAGTACGTAAGAGTACTGTACTTACCGATAAGTCCAACTTTCCCCTTGGGCTGGCAGTTGTCGCAACTGGACAACGCTTCGAGGGCAGAGGATATGCCATCTTGTTCATCCTCCAAGGCAGCTAAGCATACTGCCGCCACCGCGTAGCCTTCTTCAGCCCATTTGAGGAACGGTGAGGGAACTCCATCGTCTAGACGCAAACCTCCGAGGTCTCTCCCAGAAGTCAGTATGATCATACCAGGACCCGTGCCGAGGCGTGACAGAGGGTGTAGCAAGTAGACGCCCGGTGCATGCACTTGTTGATTTGGCACAGGGAGGCTGGGGGGAGGGTCGATTGCTTGGCCGGTCATGTTTGTGTATTTTCCAGGACAAATTGGTTCTATATCGAAGCTTACGACTGTTGAAGCAGGTGGAAGGAAGTCGAGAACGTCGCTGTCATGAGCCAAAATAAAGTGATCAAGCAATGCTACCAGAGGGCCACGATACCTGATATCATATACGGAAGATTCAGTCGCCTTTTTGCTTTCTATCAGCCCATAAAGCTGGTTTTCCGGGTATCGTATCGGTTGCTCATTCGGAACCGGCGTTGAGATTGATTGCGATGGTACGTTTTCCGCCGCTGTTCGGCTACGCGCCCGGATGTCCACGGACAGAATGCTTCCGCCCCGGAGTTCAAGAATGTCACTGTTATAGTGAAGAACGGAGTAGAAATGGTCGGGACTAGTACGGAGAGAAACGCGGCACGAAGACAACAGCCGCATAATAGGATAAGGGTTCCCATACCCGTACTTATCCTGAAATTAGGTCTTCCCACCTAGCATACTGCTTCAGGTACAAAGATAGCGCTTTGATGTAGAACTGATTCTCTCCCACCAAAGATAATTTCAAAGTCTGGGCGTTTGGGGTTCTGTGTTCACTATGCTTACGAATCGAATATTGTTCCAATACACCAGATGACTCGTTTCCTCTAACTGCAATCAATTTCTACTATAGATTGAGGGATCTCATAGACTATCTTATGAAATACTAGGCGGATAGACAGACTTTTGTCTGAAGAATGTCTAGCAAAGCTTTTGAGCCTTAAGTGGTCCTCCCTAACTGAACTCTGCCCACCAATGAAAACGCGACGCCTGTAGCCTGATAAATGCACACTAGAGATTAGAGCGGCCACGGGGAAGCGTATTCTGATCGCTAAATGCGCTGATCTGCCAGTCGAAGTCCTTGTGTTAGTGAATGATGACGGTTTGCACACAGAATACTCTTATTTGACCCAACTTACATAAGAAGGATTCAGCGAGTCAACACTGGCAAGTCCCATCAAAGCCATGGTCGTCTCAACTTCATTTTTCAGAATTCTGATTGCCTTGTCGACGCCTGGCTCGCCAAGTGCCAAGGCGTAAAGAAATGCTCGCCCCAGTCCGACGCCTTTTGCGCCTAAAGCAAGAGCTTTCACAATATCAGAACCGCGACTGATACCACCATCAACAATAACGTCACAACGGCGAAGGACTTCGGGGCAGTGTGCATGGATGGCAAGAAGGGTATCCACAGCAGAGGGAGCTCCCTCGAGCTGTCGTCCTCCGTGATTCGACAGCCACGGATGTACTCCGTACCTCATGCATAGTGCAGCATCTTCCCAGGATTGAATGCCCTTTATCGCAATTGGCAGATCCGTTATCTTTCGTAACCACGAAACTGCGGACATCCAGTCAAAGTCAGGGAAGAGGTGGCTATATCTCGTCAGGTCATTTTCTCATCAATCATATCCGGACTTATTGGGAACGCACGACCGCGAAACTGTAGGGCCACTGGCAAACGCATTGTCTTCACCCTCTTGATCCTCAGAAAGCTCCTGTTCCTGTGAAAAAAGATTGTTAATCCTTGAAATAGAACCGCGAGAGAATGATATGCATACCTTGATGATTAAACGCACATCACGTTCTCGCTTGCCAACTCGATTGGCATCAACAGTTAAAGCAAACCCCCGGTAACCCAACGAAATAGCTTGTTTTATTTCCTTCTCCGTCACGGAAAGGTCCTCCAGAGCATATATCTGCCAGTACAATGTCTGCGTGTCCGCACGCGCATCTGCCAACTGCTCCTGCGAACAACCGGTGTTGTTCGGTACCCAGTGAAGAATGCCATGTTTCCCAGCAGCTTTGGTCAAAGCCAGGTCTCCAATCGGATGCGCCAGCTTACCACCTCCTGCAGGGCAGATAAAAAATGGCGCTGAGTATTTCGTTCCAAGAATGGATGTCGTTAAGTCGATGGCCCGGATGGGTCTTAAAACTCGCGGACAAAAGCGGATACGTTTCCAACTATTCTGGTTCCATTGAACAGTTTCTTCATCTTCAGCGCCAGATTTGAAAACTGCACGTCGCTCCAAATGCATTGATTAGCCACGGAGACAGCATTTCGTCTTCCTCTGGTGGTACTCACAGGCAAACGAGCGCGCAGGTAATATCTGAGAGGCAGAAAGTTCAAAGTCATGAATGTTGACAACGGATCTCAAAAGTGAAGGGATGCTCTTCTGAAGACTACTTTCCGAGGAAGATATCTTCATTTGTGCCGCGGCGGGTGTGGTATTCATATCGGAATCTGCAACGGGGCCGAGATGGGCTCTATTCACATATCAGTACAGCCGCGCAGTAGATAAATGTCGAATCAGAGAATTCCTCATACTCTCGCGATAGATGTTTCTCAATCACGTTATTTGGGTGGATGGGCTCGAATGCTTCTGTTGCATCCCGCCCAGCATATTTCAGGATGATGCTTGACCCACCAGGATGGGAGTCCAAGTACGAGCTCAGGTCGTAAACATTTCCTTTTATGATCACCAAACATCGGTCTTTCGACCTGTGCTGGCTAACTTCAGCTCTAGAGGGTATTAGCAGCTGTTTACGGAATCCGAAAGCTTCTGACTTACCTGGTCAACATGTTCGTATATCCTAGGTGACCAACTTTTTTGTCACTACGAAGTTGAGGGCTGTCATCTATTATCTCTTAAAAATGATGGTCTTATTGAATTGATTGAATTTCCGTGCATTGATCACGGTTACTCCAGTCCGGAAAAGGGTCATACTTTATCTCGGCTAAGGGCCGGCAGCAGTATGTGGGGCACGGATATTGCCCCTGCAGCATACACCTTCTGTCTAACTATTTCAGAGATATTAGTTCTGCCTTGATGAGAACCACGTCCCAAGTTCAAAGACAGAAATCATGGAGAAAGTTTTCGCCAAGATAGCACAAGATACCACCAAGTTCGATCTTGGAGATGAAGAAGTACGACTTCATGCCTGATCTAACGATAACCTCAACTTCAAGCTGACGAGGTACAGGGCTGGAGAAAGCTGTATGAACCTTTATATCCCAAAGCACCGGACAATGTCGGAATAGTGAAGGACGAGCAATACGGACCGGCCGAGCGTAACCGATTGGATGTATATTTTCCTGCCGAGGAAAAGCCGGGAGAACATCCTGTTGTACTTTTCGTTCACGGAGGAGGCTTTTTCTCTGGAGACAAAGGATGGAGTGAAAAGGTACTTGCATGCTACAATGGAAAAACCCATCCAAATGCTTACTCACCGACACAAGTGCTGGGCGAATGTGGGATTCTACTTTGCGCAGCGTGGATTCGTCACGGTTCTCGCAAACCATCGACTCGTCCCGCACGTTGTCTACCCTGGAGGGGCCGATGATATGCAGCTTGCTCGGGAATGGATCTTTGAAAATATTGCAAAGCAAAAGTACGGCAGAGGATCACCGGAGAAGGTCATTCTTTTGGGTCACTCGTCCGGTGGGGCACATATCGCCATGAACCTCTACGCCGCAGGTGATGAATTCCTTGACAACACTCACCATCATTCATTACTGACTCGAGGAATAGGGGATCCAAAGCGAGTATCGAAAGTCCCACTGTTTCCCCCTGTCGCGGGTGTTATCTACCTGAGTGTACCATTTTGGTTTGATCGGAGAAAGCCTGTGCGACAGAGGGTCATCCGCCACTATTATGAATCGGATGCTGAGGAGGTCTGGGGTGTAAGTCAAATGAACTCGGGGTTTTTTCAGACTTTCTAAACTGCGCTACAGCCTGTTTCTGCCCTGGGACTCTTCAGAAATCTACCAGACGACTCTCCGTTGTTGTAAGCTTATTCTACTTCTCCTCTTACTAAATATACGACACCCAAATACTCTGCGCTGACAATGTGAGTAGGAATTCTGAGCATTTGCCGGTCTACATCGGAAGTGTCAAGTGGGAAGTGTAAGTCACAGAGATGTTAAGTGAAGAACCCATTAGTACGCAAAGCTGACCTGAGAATAATTGAAACTGCTAGAAAGGAAACAGCTGATGCCACTGTGGCTTTCTTCAATGCCTATCGTGAACGGAGTAATCCTCCAGGAACGCTACCAGTGTTCCATGTACAGGACAGACATAATCATGTCAGGTCAGTTATGATTTTATCTGACCTTGGTCTTCCATTGTCGGTTCTAATGTGATTAGCAGCAACGTCCTATCCATTGGAACTGAAGATTCTGCGCAGGCGGAAAGACTATTGGACTTCATGCAAACTTGTGTGGCAAAAGTCGAACAAAGAATTCAGCGTACGCTTTCTGTGGATAGCTAGCCTATCAATAAGGGTGAAGTTTGTTAACAATCTTTGACAGATGAGAATGGGACCATGAGTAAGGAAAGTCTACGCTCTGGTCGCCTTTGAATAATCAATGACATGAAGTGAGAAGGAAGGACCTTGGTCAGAAGTCGAATTCACAATTCAAATTTGAGAAGAAGAGAAGTAAATAAGGTATATACATTAGTATATGAAAGATATTAGCTTACTATTTTATGGAAGTACTTATAAATAGTAAGACTGAACAAGGAAGCAGAAAAGATAAAGATAATATAAGTTTAGCAGGAATAGACATGTTGTAAACTTGCGACAATCTATGTGCTAGACTGCCCAAAGGCCACCCCTCCTCCCAAAACAGTGACAAAGTAGACGAAGAATTTCGGAACGATTTGATATCAAGCCATCCTTGAAGGCATACACAGAGTATCTCTCGGACTAGGCCATCATCGTCCAAAGGAACTATAAAGGATAATGCTTTATTTTCCTTAAAGTCTATTGCATGCGCTGGGCTTACAATCTGATGTATAACGTTTCATTTGATCATTCTGATATACGTGGGGAAGTGTAGAGTGGGCAAGGGGAGCCTCGTCTGCTACTAGAGAAACATCGTAATGCAGTAACTGTCACGGATGCCATACAATTATCAGTTTGCAGTTACACTCTGCTGGTAAGCAAAGTTTCGCTCGACGGACTCCTTGAACCACTCCCCTACACTCTTCGGG